CCCGAGCTGGGGATTCGAACCCGCCACCTTAGGTGTATGTGGCTGGCGCCTTAGCCGCTTGAGCCACAGGCGCCGAGCCTGATTATTCTTTTCTTCTACAACAAAGGTGATTTATAAAGAAAGTCGGGCTGGCATGGTGGCTCATGCTTATAATCCCAGCACTTTGGGAGGCCGAGGAGGGAAGAATGTTCAAGGTAAAAAGTTCCAAACCAGCCTGAGCAAGAGTGAGATTACCTCTCTACAAAAAATACTAACACAAAAATTAGAAAGGGGTGGGGGCGATCGCCTATAGTCCCAGCTACTGGAGGCAGGAGGATCGCTGCAGCGTAAGAGTCTGAAGTTACACTGAGCTGCGATGATGCCACTGTACTCTAACCCAGGTGACAAACACCCTGTCTCCAAAAAAATACAAAAAACCAAACTTCAGACTTCCCTTTCACAAAATCAACTGCGGCACATCCACTCCAGGTTCTAGTCCACCTTGATTCAGAGAAAAGACAAGCGAAACCGACTAACGCATCCCTCCCTTCCCTCTTACCCCACCAACAGGAAGTCTGCGCAGCACGAGACCCCGCCCCGGGCACGGCCCGCGTCCGCGCGCAACCTTACGTAAAGCGTGAGGAGTTTCGCGACAGCCCAGGCTCCACCCCTTTGGCCACACGTCGCACAGGTCTTCCTGTCCCACGCCGCGCCACCTCCCTTCGCTGCTTTACGAACCCAGAGTAGCGCCGCCCCGCCTCCTGTCTCCGTCCTCAGTTCCCCGCCCCCTCCCAGTTTTGCGTCTCCTAGCCCGACGCGCCCGCTATAATCACGTGATTGCTTCATCCGGGTCCTTTGCGTTCTCTCTCCCTCTCCCAACATGGCGGCCTCAGGTGAGCGAGCCGCTGAGCGCGGCCAAGGAGCGGGCTCCGAAACCACCCTCCGAACCTGATCCACTGATTCCCTCGAGTCGGAGAGCGGGCAGCATCGGCCCCCTTCCGACTTGGGGACTGCGTCAGGCTGGCAGTGTGGCTATGTTAGGTTATCGCCCCGGGATGTTTGGGGGGAGGGGAAGAACACCTTCCCCTCCCCCTCACACCCTTTTCACCCCGTCTGCGCGAGGTTAGAGTAGGCAGTAATGGTGGACTCTGGTTTCAATTGGAGTGAGGAGGAAGCGCAGAAAGAACTGCGGGAGGCGCGAGGCCTTTTCATAGACGTGAAGCACTGTGCCCGCGTGAAGGCGTGGAGGAAGGAAGGAAGGAGGCAGTTGGCGCGCGGACGAGTGCATATTAAGGTCTTTGAGGCGCGAGGCCGTTGCGGACAGGAGTGGGGGCAGGGGAATAAGGGGGGGGGCAGTTAGAACGCGAGCGCGAGTCGGTGGAGGGGCGGGGGAAGGTAGTGGTGCGCGTGCGCTGTAGGAAACCCCAGGGTCGTGGAGACGGGCGTGCCTTAAAAGCATGCGCTAGGACCCTGATGGCATGCTTTTTCGCACTTATGTTGCGCTCCTTTATGTCCTTTTACTTTATTCTCTTCCTATTTTTCCAAGGGTACAAGTGTTAAGTTTGGAGGTTAGAACTACTAGACATAGATGGAGTGGGGAGCTCAGCGTGGAGCGCCCACGTGTTGGAGAAGAAGTCGGGCTGGACACCTAGATTTCTCTCTGCTTCCTCTTCTTTCTCCTATTGAATGAACACTTTTTGCTTAGAGCAAACTTTGTGGCAAGAGCCCTGCTCTTAGGGAGTTTACTTTTTGGCTGAATTTTGATACGTCCAGTGGTAGGATTTAGCTCTTTTTTAAAAATAACTGTACAGTTACAGGGAGATGCTATTAAAACAGTGTTCACCAGTGGCTAGAGTTTGTTTCCTTTTTAAACTTACTTGGAGGGAAATATTGCTGCGGTGCGAGTCTACTTGGATTTGTAGTGGAGTTAGAACAACAGCATTGGTGCGCTGTGTAACATCTTGTAGCATTCATTGATTTTACTTTTGAGGATATAGTTCTTTTTTCTGGCAAGACCTTGCATTCTGGCTCGGCGCCTATAGCTCAACCGGCTAAGGCGCCAGCCATGTACACCTAAGGTGGCGGGTTCAAATCCCCAGCCCGGACCCGCCAAACAACAATGACGGCTGCAACCAAAAAATAGCTGGGCGTTGTGGCGGGCGCCTGTGGTCCCAGCTACTTGGGAGGCGGAGGCAGGAGACTCGCTAGAGCCCAGGAGTTGGAGGTTGCTGTGAGCTGTAATGCCACGGCACTCTACCCAGGGGGACAGCTTGAGGCTCTGTCTCAAAAAAAAAAAAAAAAAGGAAAAAAAAGAAAGACCTTGCATTCTGCAAAGCATTTTTCTGAAATTCTATCTATGGACACTCATTTCTAACCCCAGGAATTCATATTCTTAAGAAAACTAAAGATTATGGTTGTTTTTGGACTGTTAGAGATTCACTTCTGAGTTGTCTGGACCTGGTTTGGTTCACCCAGCACAACTTAGTAAGATGAGCTGAGTCAAAGGGAGAACAAGACACTGGGGGAGTGGAAAATGAGGCTGCTGGGATTCCATTATAGCAAAGAGAAGTGTAATTTTTTTTTTTAATAGAGTCTTCACTCTGTGCCCTTGGTAGAGTGCTGTGGCTTCACAACTCACACCAACATCCAGCTGTTGGGCTTATGCGATTCTCTTGCCTCAGCCTCCCCAGTAGCTGGGACTACAGGGGCCCAGCTTATTTTTTGTTGCAGTTTGGCCACCACCCTCGGTATATGGGGCTGGCGTCCTACTAACTAAACCACAGGTGCCTCTGAGAAGTTTTTATTTAAAGGAAAGGAGAGTTAAGCATAGGCTTTTCCAGAGAATAGAAAGGGAGTCCTTTTGGGGAGTATGAGGACATGTCACACAAAGGCTGTACACCAATATGTAAATACTTTTGTCCCAATTCCTCCTACATTTATGTAAGAATTCCCATTGGGGGCGGCACCTGTGGCTCAAAAGGAGTAGGGCGCTGGCCCTATAATTCCCATTGGTTTCTCTTAGGCCTTCAGGTGTGATGTTGTGGTTTCATCGGTACCGATTACCTCATTATCACATAAATCCTATTTACTCTGTGTCAATAATTATTAACTATTATTTTACTAATGATGGTCTGGTGGCATCTATTAGTCTCATGATGTGTGGCAATCACGGTGTGCATTGTTCTGTGCCAGGGATCTTTGTTGTTTTATGGGAAGAGCATTGTCTCCTTTATTGGGAAATCATTCACCAGCTAGAGGACGTGGGTCACAGGCTAGAAGTTCTATTTTGCGGCTCGGCGCCTATAGCTCAACC